CTCCAGTTTGATTGGTGACCGGTCTGAACTTACCCCACTTGTTTTTAGTAACAAAGACAAGAGAATGGCTACCCCTATTCATCTATTATGTTTAAATAGCTGTCACAGCTTCCAGGATGTCTGTTTCCATGTTATCTGGTGAAAGTATAAAATAGAATGGCAGCAAACCAAATACAGTGAAAAATGTTTGTTGTGTTTGGCCCAAACCAGCTGCTGTTTGCAGATAAAATCTGGTTTGAACAAGAACAGGTGAATTTTGGAAGTTGAGGAACAATGGATGGAGTGGATGTAGCATTAACAAATATTTTAAAGATATGTGTTAAATTCAGACTTGCCTATTATGGTGATGTAGTTCATCTGTCAAGGCACATATTCATCTCTGCTCAGATACTGTAGAGGCTTGGGTAACAGCTTGTCCTGTCCTTGTTTATTTGTTAATTTATAACATCTCAGTTCCCAGCACAAGCCAAGGCAGGCCTGGACAGTTCTTTGTTCTGCCTTGTTCTTTCTTTTTTCTCCTTGTCTTTACACTGTTGTGCTCCCAACCCCAACAATGGAGTTGTAGATTGACCCTCTTTCCCCTCTTGCCCTGACTTGTCTTTGAATGCTTCCCTTGATGCATTCAGACTGAAAATGACAAATCTCTGTTTTCCAGCAAGGGCTCATCATTTTTGCAGCGTTGCTCTGCTAGTAGGGTAAGAGGAACATTAGTAGTTCCCTTGTAACAGTTTAAAAGGTGTTAGGCTAATGATTACTTGGAAACAAAGATATCTCATCGTATGGAGAAAAGAGGACTCCTGCAGGAAAGGAAGATTTTTAAATGCTTTAATGGCAAGAGGTCGTATTATTTTGCTACTAAGATATGTAGTTATGTTTTAATTGGCTGCGTTTACAATGTGGTTTTTCTTAAAAATGCATTTTTTCGAGATTCTCTCAATCATTGCTTATCTCACATCCACAAATATCCATGCTTCCTGTGTGTAATATGTACATTTGCTCTGTTTCAAACATACTCACACTCAAAATTTATTTCACATGGGACCTCAAAAAAACAAAGTCACATTAGTCTGACTTTTTTTTTTTTCCCTGTGTTGACATTTCATTAAAATAAGTTCATAGTAAGTTCAGCTTTCTCGTCTTAGCCTTCAGTGTAAATTTGTTTCTGTTATTTATTATAACATAAGAGTTTGGATGTTATTTTGAGTTCATACCATTCTAACCTTTTTTGAGTCACTTTGCCTATTGCAAAACCATACCACACATTGTTAGGAAAATCTTTGCAAATTTCACAACATGTTTTGAGCATGCACAAAGTACGGCAAACGTAGCGTATATTTAATTTCAAAGTAGTAATATGGTAAAAAATTTAATCCCCTAAATTCTATGACAAGACCTGCATTATGAGCTTTCTGTGTCTCAACAATCGCATGGAAGAGCATAGTTTTTAAGTGAACAAAGGCTTGTGGAATTTTTAAGTGGGTCAATTTTGTCTAGTCGATTTTTAAAATATTTGGAGAATTTGAGACCTAAAATATTAGTAAGATTCTAAATTGTCTTAGAAAGGATGAGACATCATTGGTCCATTTGTCTGACAAACCTAGAGGCAAATTATTTATTATATTTTTTAGTTTACTTTCTCATTTATATGAATCAACTCCACCATTCATACTAGTGATTAGACTCTTTGTTGCTATACCATACAAGTACCATACCATACCATACCTTCACTGGACCCACTAAAATAAAAAAGTCTTTAACCAAAAAACTCAGTGACATAACACAGAAAGGTTTTATAATAAGGTTTTTTCAATTTTGGGGCTTTTTTTAAGGTTGAGTAGGAATCATTTGGAAAAACTGCATTTGCAGCAGAGGAAAAAAAAAACTATTTCAGCCATGCAATAATATTATGTAGTGTTTAACAATCTGTTGTCTAACCAGTTTTGTTTAAGTTTGGGGTTGTTTGTTTTGAATAAAGAAAGCATAACAATTCTGACAGCAGTTTGGAAAAAAACATTTGGTAATGATTTTTCACATTGGAATAGGATTTGAGAAGATGAACTAGTAGGATGATACGGGAACAATAAGTTAGTTTGCAATACCCAGGAATTCTTAATTTATTTTTTCTAATGCAGTGGTGAATATTTCTATAATATTTTAAAGGTTGGGAAGAAAAGCAAAAATTCATATTTAGAGCCAAATTTTAGTATGTTACTACAAAATGACTACAGAGATATTCATGTTGCTGTGGGGTGGCATAAGGACAGAGAACACATCCACAGAGAACGTTTTTCAGAGCCTTCTTTGAACCTTGGTAAGGTAGATAGGAAATGATTCAGTAATCTACAGCCAGTTTTTCTCAGCACTTTGTGACATGACTAGAAAACTTAAATATAGCTGAAAAAATCTGTGACACTGCGCTGAAGCTTTCCCTGGTCAACATCAATTCCTTTCACAAGCTTACCATGGTAGGCTTTCAAATGATGACTTCATGAGAAAGCAGTAATTGTGGCACAAATTATGACAAATAGGGGACCTGAAACACGGTCTTATTTCTTGTGTAGGCTACTCTCAGCCTGAGCCAGTCAAGTAGGAAGAACAGGTTCCATGGTAGGAATGATCTCACCAAAAGTAGATTTTTCCATCTGAGCTAGTCAGCTTAGACTTCTCTTACAGTCAAGAGACACTTAGAGAGGAAGATTTGTCTTCTCCTCTAAGTGTCTAGCTCTTAGAGGAGAAGGCTCTAAATGCCTGTGATAGTTTGGATGGAATAGTACTTTAAACTTGTGTCTGCTTCTCTCCACTGGTTATAGAAAGAGCTAGGTGGGACCAGCGTAGAAACAGATGCCCAAATGCCTGAGCCCCTCACTAAAAGGAGGACATGGAGGTGCTGGTGCCTGTCCAGAGAACGGCAACGGAGCTGGTGAAGGGTCTGGAGCACGTGTCTTATGAGGAGGAGCTGAGGGAACCGGGGTTGTTTAGCCTGGAGTTTTCTCCAAACAGGAGGCTCAGGGGAGACCTTGTTGCTCTCTACAACTACCTGAAAGGAGGGTGTGGAGAGGTGGAGACCGGTCTCTTCTCCCAAGTAACAAGTGACAGGATGAGAGGAAATGGCCTCAAGTTGCACCAAGGGAAGTTTAGATTGGATATTAGGAAGAATTTCTTTACTGAAAGGGTTATCGGGTATTGGAACAGGTTGCCTAGGACAGTGGTATAGTCTCCATCCCCGAAGGTATTTAAGTGTTGTCTAGACATAGTGCTTAGGGACATGGGTTAGTCAGGGTATAGGGGACTTGTCAGTGTGAGGTTAACAACTGGACTTGGTGATCTTGCAGGTCTTTTCCAGTTGAGGCAATTCTGTGATTCTGTTTGGGTATTTCTGTGGCAGGACATAGTGGGTGAGGCTTTTACTCTAGCACTGTAAATACTGGCCAGCACAACAGAGCTGGTGAGGAGACAGGGCAAGAAATCTGCACCTAAACATGGTTGATGGAGGTTGCTTCCTTCTGGAGAAAAGGTGGATGGGGACTGTTGGAATGAACTGAGACTCCGAGTTATGGTTTTCTGGTCCTGAGGTCGTCAAAGCCTACACTTTAACCCCTCATTGCTGCAGATTTACATTTTACTGGTCCTAGATCATGTCCACTTAAGAGAATAATGCACCCCAGTCAAAGAGAGAGCTCATTTTACTCACCCAGGATCAGAACTTTCATATAATACAATTCCTAATATACATGATAGGATAAATAGAGAAATATAGCTATTATTGAAACTGTAATTAAATACAATGGAGAAAGAAAAATAAATTAAAATACCCCAAAACATATATATCTTATAATGATCAAAGCCCAAATGGAAAAGAGCAAGTCTGGCAAACTCTTCTGTAGTCAAATAGCTGTTCAGAGATCTGCATAATACCAAGAGAACATTCTGATGTCCTTGTATTGTATTGAGATACATCAGTATGTGTCAGTTAAGCCGTTGGAAAGAAGAGCATGTATAGATATACGTATCTATATATATGTGCAGATAGTTTTCCTTTTGAAGAATTCAGATTAACATCTGGTGCAAAGAAATTGACCTAAATTTCTATATCATATCAACAGTAGTCTAAAAATATTTCAAAGAGTAAAAAAAAGCAACAAAAAAACCCCAAAACAGGTAACCAGGGTATTGAATTTTCTATTAATTGTGGGTTGGGTTTTTGGGTTGGTTTTTTTTTTGTACTTTATAATCCGTTCACAGATTATCTGATAAACTTTAATCTTAGAAGTCTTCAAGATATGGGAGTTTTTTCCCATTGTGATGTCAGAACTGATCAGATCTGATTGTTACAAAGATCCCACTAAGGAATTTAGCACTAATTGTTAAAAGATGTCCGTGCTTAAAAAAAAATTAGGCCAGTGATTGTAACCATGCTGTTAATTTCATGTATTGTTCAGAACATGATTCAATTGTGGGAATCAGGTGTACTTTCTTGATTAAAAATGCATTGAGGAGCTGTAGTTTTTTTCAGTGTTGCAGAATCTTCTGAGCTGTAAGTGAAACCATTGAGAGTGGGAAGGGTTAATTGTATGGGAAGCCTTGTATTCAAATACTTCTTGTATACAAAATATATGTCATGCTAGAAAATATTCTATTGTCAATCCAAATAGAACACAAACTAAAATGAGATAATTGGGAAGGTACCCATAAAGTCGGCCTGAATATATTATCACAAGTATATGTGAGATAATATTTGTTTTAAAAAGATTCTATGGCACTGTAAACTCAGTCTCATTAGAGACTGCATTTAAAAGGCTTATAAAGTTACTCATTAATGTTATCTTGTTGTATCTCCACAGCTTTTTCATTAAAGAAAATTCAGCAGAAAGCATTTTCTCCTGATAGCAGGAACCAATTTGCAATAAATGTTCTGGAAACCACTAGGGAAGCCATTACTGAGGTCTAATAAAAACAGACAAGCGTAACTTGTTCTATATTTTTGTTTCAATCACATACAGATGAGACCCCGCTCTCCACACCAACCGCAAGAGACAGCCTTGACAAACTTTCTCTAACTGGGCATGGGCAACCACTACCTCCGGGTTTTCCATCTCCTTTTCTATTCCCTGATGGATTGTCCTCCATAGAGACCCTTCTGACTAACATCCAGGTAGGCCTTTCTGTAGATCAGCTTAAAGGGATGGAGAGGAGCCAGTTGCAGATTTGTCTAAATTAATATAACCGTTCTAGCTTAGTCAGTTCATAGGATTATTTGGATCAACTAATTTACTGAAAGTTCTAGTAATTTAGGTTGTAAAGAAACCACAACAAACATGAATTTAAAAACTGTCAGATACAGTACATAAAAATACAGATTGTATATTAAACCACAGAGGAAAATTCGATGAAAATTACATTGGTGTGTTTAACATTTGTCTTAAATGCTCTTTTTATTATAGGTTAATGTAATGTATCTTACTGTTTAACTGTATTTCATTTACTAAGCAGAGAAACATTTCTTTAATAAATAGTTATTTTAAATTGCTGGAGTGCCAAGGTGGAAATGATATTTAAAGTGATTTGAAATGTGTTGCCCATAAAAGCATTCGCAAAAAGCAGTTCTTTTGTAAATAAGCTCATTTCATTTAAAGTACTGTCTTCAAAGAAGAGACTTCAAAGGATATTACCAAATTTTCTGCGGATTTCCTATTCGGTAGTCATGATGTCTATTGTGTGTACAGTGCAGACTGGTTCAAGTTATTATTTAAGGTATACTCTAGCATGTAGCTTGGAGCCAAGATGATAGTGTTTCATATTAGAATGAGATTTGTTTTGTCCACAAATGCAGGGATCGTGTTCCCCTATGCAGCTTTTGGAACAATATGGTTGTATGTTGCATGCAGAATTAAAATGATAGTGCAGGAAATAAAGAAGCCATGCTGTACTCATTCTAGATAAGCCTCATCTGTGCAACTACTAACTTCCAATATATTTGTCGCAATATTTTTCCCTGCTTATTCCTGCAAGTATGTAAAATCAATTGTATTCTATTCAGCAAAGGCTTTGACAGAGCAGGGCCAAATCCTACTCACTTTACTTTTCTTAGGCAATCTCATTAGAGTTTATTGCACTTCAGAGTTGTTTTGTGAAAAGTATGTGATCCATCATTGGTGATGTTTTGAGATCTAATAATGAAAAAAATACTGCTATTTAAGGATTGAATGTTGCTGTATTTCTTGGTCTGAAAGAACATATTTGTGTTTGCTTTTTGTGGTTCTGAGACTTGGGATCTTAAATATTTAAATCATAAACCAAGGTAATTCTACAACAGTTAGCATTCTTCTAACAGATCTGCTGCAGTCTGTAAAGAATGTGGTTTTTTTCTAAAGGAAGAAACACAGTTAGCAAAGTATGTAATGTTTTAGCTGTGCATGCATGTACAGGAAAGTTCTTAGTAATTTTTTTGACAAATGTGTGCACTCAGTGTCTCTAGACAGCAACCTAACGAGCAAAGCATTCAGCATCAACAGGTTAGCTAATCTTGTGATTGAATATGAGAGTGCTGCACTACTTCAGGATAAATGACCAGGATTAATTTGCCAAGAATGCATTCAGTATTGTTTTACAGAAAATGTGTATGTGAAATTGAATCATTGTTTTGGGGTTTTTTTTAAATGCATTCAGTATTGTTTTACAGAAAATGTGAATGTGAAATTCAGTCATTGGGGTTTTTTTTAAAAAACTCAAACACCCTAATCTTACCTGGACTGAAGAGCTAAAATAAAAGCCAGCATCGTAAAGAAACCAGAGATTTCTTTATGCCTTCTCTCATTGTGTTTTTGTACTTACTGCTCCTTACCTTGAGGTTCCACATCATGAAGAAACATCTGTCAGGGTAAAGAGGTGGGACATAAGTCCTTTTGGATTTTTTTCAGTATATCCCCACATAGCATTATATGGTTTCCACAGATCTCTGGGAATCCTGTCATATACTATCAAGGCATTTTTCCCCCCATAGATTTAATCTCTATCAGTACAACATTACAAAACTATTTCATAAAAAAAGAATAATAATTTTTTAAAAATAAAAAGGTAGCTTGATTTTCCCATCTGTATAAAGTATTCTCTTTAAAGTTATGTATTTTCTTTAAAACAGTAGAGTCTATTACAATAACCTGTGCGCAATAATGTTAGTTTCTCTAATCAATGCCATTTAAAATTATTACCATATTCATTAATTTTTGCAATGAGAGGGGGATACCCCAGGCCCACAAATGTGTCAGATACTGTGATACTGACACTTTCAGAACTGAGTTTTAGGTATTTGACTACAAGTCTGAACTTTCTAATGGGATTTGTGGAAAGAGGAAATTCTGTACTATGGTCCCTGCTTGCAATATTATTTGTGACTTTGCTAAGAAATGCATAAGCACTACCTGAAACCCATGATGTGTTTAGTACATGAGTCAGAAGGACTCTTGTCAATAGGTAAATTCCTCTTTCCTCTCCTTTGGTCCAGATAAATTTTGCATCCCTTCCAGTACAGAGGTGTGGATTCAAAAGGGCGGTGAAGCAGTAAGTTCCCTCACCATTCGCTTGTTGCAGCTTTGCAAGCAATGGAGCAGATTTAACTTTCTAGGAAAGATCATCTGACCTACAGTCCATTCCCTGCCTCCAGTACGAAGGTGCTTTTGAAACAGAAAATAACAGAAATCTAGCGGAAGGCTAGATGAGTGGTTTTTGTAAATGCTGTTGTTTTTTCCACAGAGTCATGCATGATGAAAATACAGATGTGTCCTTTCACATAAAGAGTATATGTCTGCTTGTGAGATGCAGGTGCACATCTTTGTTAGGTCACGGCACAGGATGCATGCACAATCTGCACATGTGGTGGTGGAGGTTGCCTATATTTTAGGGATAAGGTGGTCACATGAATACATAGGCAAGCAGCCTCTGGCTACACCAGTGTGCATGGATGTGATGGTAGATATCTGTGCTGTGATCCCCTTGTGTATATTCAGCTGTGTGAGGTGTAGCATCCGGAGGATCTGTGTAATATAGACAGTGAGTGCCTCCAGAAGAGGTTGTAGAGCCTGGTTTAAAATAGAACAGGATTAGGCTACTGTATGGGCACAAGGAGCTCCAATTTTGACCTTTGTCAGGGTAGGGAGTATCCTAAACCTTGCCATGGGGACAGTGCTTTTGGGTACGTGAGCAAAAATTTCTAAACACTTTTGATATTTGAAAACAAAATGTGCTAGAAGTCTTGCAGATGCTGAAGGCCTTAGGTGATTGAACTTGGTGCCTAACTCTACATCCATTTTAGAAGTCTGAGTCATCCTTTTAAACTGACCACTAAACACAAGTGAGTTTGTGTCTTCCATCCATACTAAAATTAAATGGATAGCCCATAATAGCTAATTCATAATTTTAGGCAAAGGTTATACAAGCTTATTTGCTATTGCTGTCACCAGGGGCTGCTAGTTAGGTTTATTTCCTTTTCTATACCATATATATGTTTTTCTTACTTTTCCATAAATACTTATTGAAACAAAAATACCATGTTTAATTATTTGTACATGTAGAGAGCAGATAATAACGAGGTACAGTACACAGAACAACCAATGTTTGTTTCTTGTTGGGGACTGCTGAAATGGAAATAATAAACTATAACAAAATATAATTAAACAAGTACACACATAAAAAAAGAAATGAGACTGGGGACATATTTTCTTATTCAGGTGTATATCTGCACATCTAAAAGGAAGAGAAAATAAACTTCCCCAGAGAGCTTAAATTAAGTGATATGTCTGTTTCTTCCCAGTGTGTATTTGTTGATTTCTTCCAGATTAAATGCTGGAAGTCTCTGTGCAGCTGCAGGACGGATGAAGGGTGATGGAAGGTGGGTCACAGCAAAATGCTGTGTGGGTGCTAGTGAGAAGGCTAAAGATGTTTCCGTACCCCTCACATAAATTCACCTTTTTGAGTCATGACCTGATTATGCTGAAGCTTGTTACAGCCAAAGTCTTTCATGATAGTGCAATATTCTTGGGTAACAGCAATGTTCTTTTTTTTAGATTCTAGACTCAGATTTTAGTGTCTGAGTTTCCATTAATATCTAAGGGATTAATTAGTTGCACCCTGATAGCTATATTTTTCTATCAAGACTGTATTGTATGGACACAGTCTTGCTGCTAAGTGTTTTGCAAAAGATATGTAAGGTAAGTAGCAAGTATCCCATTGATATTAATAAAAGAAATGCATGATTACAAACTAAATTCCCCTCTGAAAACAAAGCAAACTACTGGCTTTATTGCTGTGAGTCTCTTGCACTGTTACCATCTCCGACTAAATACACAAAAGAAAAATATTGCGAACACTGGATAAAGTAAAAATCACAGCTTTGCTTCATGTCATTCTGTCTACTGCTAAAATTCAAGACAATTTTTAGTTTTCACAGAAAGTGTTAATGGAAAAATATAGTTTATACTTGTGCAATATGCCTTTGCCTGTGATGAAGGTACTCAATCTGAGATATTACAAAAATGTCTTTCTGGAGTCATCGGTAGAGATAGTCAAGCTGTATTATCTTACCTTGCTTATGTTACTAAGTCAGTAGTCAGTTACAAATAGCAAATATGCAAAAATTCACCCGTGAAGTGAACTTAAAATGTATGTATTGATTTTTTTGCAAACCTTTCACTAGATAGTTTTAATGATAAGAGCATACAAATGATATATAATTTCCTGACTTAAAGAGGAGCAATGTTATTTGAAAGTGTTTTCACCATGAATAGCTAACATTGCAAAAGGAAGCCCCTGAGCTACAAATCTCTGGAAGCTGGGCGGTTTGACTAAGAAAGTGTCATTGTGTGCATGTCTTGTTCTTCTAGTTTTCCTTTTTCGCTCACTGTGGGCAGTTGTTGGAAACAGGTTATGACCTTCTAGACAGACCACTGGAGTAGCTAGTAAGGCCGTTTTGATGTCACATATAACTGTGTAGCTGACTAAATTATGTTAGGTAGAACTCACTGTAGCCTTTAGCTAGAAAGAGAAAGAGAAAGAGCTGCTATATACTTTCCCTCCACTCCTTTCAAAATGGCCAACACATTATTTGCATTTTTTAAAAATAGTGATGGATAACACTGGCTATAAGGCTGAGTTGAGGTTTGATATATGTTTAATTTCTATAGGATCAGTAGACTGCCCTAATATGATGGTGTTTTCAGACACATTGGAGAATGGGAAGAAACACCAGCCATATATCAGCTTAACTTTTTATTTGGGAAATTTCTGAAAAATTTTTCAGTGGAAAATATTAAAACAACTGCATTAGAGTAAACAACGTAAATCAGTATGATCTATAAATCTGCAGGGGGAAAATGTCCTTTTTCAACATTATGTTGAAATAAAAAAAAAATTATTAACAGTGACACAGAGGGGAAGAATGGCATGCCATGTTTAAAGCCTGGCTCCAGATAGAGACATACTGTATTAAAAACAAATCTGGAACCTGAGCATGTTCACTACAATTATCATTATCCAGCCTACATAACATCTGACCTTCCCTAAAGGGAAATATTTTCTTTTTGTTAATGTCCTGTGTTGCACTGCATTTCCCATTGTCATTGGCAGCATATTGATTTAATATCAGGTTAGAGGATTAGCCATAGCAAATACAAGTTGGACATACTGTATTTTGTATAATCTTTTACAGCTGATCCACTGGGAGAATTAATAGAATTTCATGCAACTCTGAAATTACTATTCCCATTCCAAGGGGCACTGATGATTTTTAGATGCTGTACTTTTCAGCTGTTTTCCTCACCACCTTCTGCATTGAATACAGGGAGATATTGAATGTTTCCAGTATTTTTGCATTAGAGCTGTCATTGGCAGTAACAGCACTTTTGCATATGCATCAGTTTGGCTCTAGTGCAGATTTTTTTTCACATTGGACGCCTACTGATGTGCACTGATTTAACTTCTAAAAATGAAACTTAATTTTGTGTAGCTTATAAGTAGTCCCTAGTGGGTCTTGGCTACAAAAAGCTAATATTTTTCAGACATAATCAGCAGCAATAGGTAATGTACTACCATTAGCTATGTTAGCAGCAAGTATAAAAAAAGGAAGGGTTGGGGGAGGAAGTGTGGTGTAGAAATTCAACAGAAAATATAATATGCTTTTAGCAGCTTCGTACTTTGCAACAATTCTTAATATAAAATTACACACATCAGTGTAACACTCTAGTGTTATTCTCCATGTTTATTCATAACGATTGTTTCATATTTAAAGAACACCAAAATATTGTGTTTTGTCAGCCAAGGACAATAATAGTTTAATAGTAATTTATTTTAAACTGCTACTGATAATACAACCAATCAACACATTAAGTGGTGCCAACATTGGCATCTTGCTAAATAATCTCTAGGCTTTGCACTGAGAGTACATCTTTCAAAGATAAGTCAACAAGAGCAATCAGAGCAGAAAATTAGAATTTGGTATCTTAGAATTAAAATACAACTAAACTAAAGTTTTAATTGGGGTGATCTAAAAGGGCACTTGATGTAATGATCTCTTTCATTTGTTACTAATTGTTTGTTCCTGATGAAGAAGAAACATGCACATGAATGTAGTTGAATTGAGTAAAGATGGCAGTTGCTTTAGCAGCTCGATTTTATTGTTAAACAAGATGGATTATAAGAATTTTGGAGGGGTGTGTTTGCCGCTTTAAACTTACTCTACAATACACTTTTCATCAGCAAATAGTTTTAATGTAATGTCACTTTCTTAGTGATTTGGATGAATCAAATGTTCTAGTAAGTGATGAATTGGAGGAGATTAAAATACTCTAGAGTTTAAGCATAAACCACAAGCAGGTATTGGTAAACAACTCCTACTTCAATTTCTTACTATTTTAAGTGTATCCCGTACAGAAAACATAAAACATAGTTCATTATGATTGTAAAGGTAGAAAAATATGGTGGGGGAAGGGGACAGAATTCAGATGGATATTATATTTCAAAAAATAGATTGGAAAGGCTTTACAAATATTTCACATTGTATTTTACTTTGCATAAGTCTGTAGAGCTTTATATTTAGCTTTATGTGATTTTCTTTAGTAGTTATCCAGGTTTAACATTCAACACAAAATACCTTTGTGTTTTAGCTATTTTAGAATGCCATTTGGTTTTTTAAATAAAACTGCTAAAACTTTAAACATATTTGTAAGCACATTTGTTGTGTTACCATTGTTAGATATTTTCAAATGTGGTTCTGTACTTACGTAGCGTATATAATTTTGTTGACCATCTGGGCCTTGAGTCGGAAGGCGTTGAGTTCTTTCAACTCCTGTGAACTTTAATAGATTGAAGTATAATAGAGGTGTAAAGCAGTAAGCTCTGAATGAGACAACACTTGAGGCAACAATTTAGTTAAGAATGAGGATGAGGAGTACTGAAAATAACAGGCTGTGGAAACAGACTTAAAAGAGGACTTTGAAGGACACAAATTTCAAAGCAGGCATTGACATTGGGAAGACTAATGGGATAAATGTTCAGGCTAACACTCATGAAAAATACTTTTTCAGTTTCTGAAATATCATCCTGCTGGCTTCTTTTTCCATTCTTTTTTGGAGATATTTCAAGAAATTTTAGTGAAAAAAATATGCAATCCAGAATCCAATTTGGGGATTGTGCCTGAGGGGGGAGGAAGTTTACTTGGGAGTTTGGGGACATGATTTCATGTCTGCAATGTGGTTGTTCTGAAACTGGGTCTTGAGTGTGAACCTTTTATCTGTTAGCTGAGTGCTTCCCTAGCAGAGCTATTTGGGAGTACTCTTCAGTCTCTCTTGCTGGCATTGTTTTGCTTTATATCAGTAATTAAATCTCTGTTGGGTCAAATTATCTCTACAGTTAAGTTGTCAGGAGACTTGTCTAGAAGAGTTAGGTTCATAGCCATGGAGGTTCATATATGCATATCCATGCTTAATTATTTACTCTGTTATGATAGCTTCAAGAGGAGGGATTCAGGTATGACATAAGAGCCTGATGGCCAGGCTTCTGTAAAATGGAAAAGGAAATCTTTCCTCTTTTCGTGGTCATTTACTTCAGTTCCGTTTCTCCTTCTCTTTTTCATACCCCTGTCTCAGTGTCCTAACTATCTCGTTATTAGCTGTTCTGGTATTTTCCTGTTTCTTTGCAAAAAAAGAAGGAATTGTGAAGTTGAAATTCTCAGAAGACATTTAGAATAAGTTGAATCATTTTTTCCTGATATAATAACCACCAAAAAAAGTAGAGTTATTGCAACTATTCACGGTGAAGAAACTGAGAGATGATTGTGTTTTGTTCTCTACTGTGAGATAACAATTATACAAGGACAGAGAACAGAGGTGTCTTCCTGCTTTGTGACTGTCCTTATATTAGCATCCCAATAACCCTGTCTTTCTGGAAACTCTATGAAATATGAAAATATTTGAAAATTAGAATAATTAACAACAATAAGAAGCAAAATGGCAAGCCTTTAAAAAAGACTTTCTCCCTTTGGCAATTTTCATTGGCTTGACTTGTGCTAGAGATTGAGTTTGCCATTCTGGGGATGTTGTGAGACTTTTTTAATGGGACAGATTTGTGTTTTGGACGTAGGCAAGTGCCTGATGTAGGCTTGTCTCTTTTATCTCTTACAAGGAATAAACCTATCCCTATAACTTTTTCACATTAGTTATGTGTACAGTCAAAGGTGAGTTTGAGTTCTCTTGACTCCCAGCTTTTTACAGATTTTTGCCCACCTGTTAAAATTAATTCCAGTAAAAATCTGCTGTTGGTAACTGAGAGGCTTTGACCCAGTGACGGGATTATTTTGTTTGTAAAATTTCACATGACTAATCAAGGAAAATTAACAGAAGTTATTTATTATGTCAGCTGTTCTAACATTCTTCAAACATTGTCCAACTTTGTCTTCGAACAGGGTCTACTAAAGGTTGCTATAGACAATGCCAGAGCTCAAGAGAAACAGGTCCAACTGGAAAAGACAGAACTGAAGATGGAGCTCTTCAGGGAACGAGAACTGAGGGAAACACTTGAAAAACAGTTGGCTGTGGAGCAGAAGAACAGAGGTACATTAATTAAGCAGACATAAACACCTTGTAATTTATTTCCTTAGGAAACCTGATTTTTATCAAACACCTGTGTCTGATCAGAACTTTTCTCCCTTACGTCAAGTTATGTACAGGCAGACTGCAATGCACAAAGTTTTACAACCTGTCTGATTCTGCATAGGATCTTAATGAGATTTAGAACAAGGACTTTCCTTTTTCTCAACATTTTTCCTGAATATTACTTATTTCATCAGTTATACACAAAACAATTATAAATAACAGGTGTTTTTATGAACTTTGGCAGGTTGTGATCAGTATGAAAAAGGGTAGCTACTTAATAAAATTTGTATCAAATTTCAAAGTCTGCAAGGCTTTAAGTTGCTCTTGTCTCTATTCTTATGTGCTAGTGTCATATATTGCATATTTAGGTGAACTGTATGTAATAAATACAAAGATAATAGTAATATATAAGCACTATATAATGCATAGCAGATCGAACACATGTTTGTGGGAGGAACAGTTAAGGTTCTTCTTGATAAGGCAGTAGCATTAGTAGCAAGTGAAACATTAACGTCAGTCCACTGTAAAGCATATACATGTTAAAGATTTTTAAAGAATTTCATTGATAGTAAAGGTAAGGCAGTTTACAGTTCTTTGCATTAACTATTTGCATTACAAGCATGTTCCCATAGTTCTTTATGGGTCTATTTTTCTGTATATGTATGTCTTGCCCTTTAATAGCATCTAATTACTTTGCAAGGGTAGTTAACCTCTGGGGCTCACTTGCTATTTAGCACAGACTATGACAAGTCAGACATGTATTTTTGCAGGGCTAGAGTTAAAACTCTGTTCTTGTCCAGTTTAATTTTCTGGGAACCAGATAAATAGGGAGTCCAGAGAACACCTGAATTCACAACCAGCATCATTACACCTTTAACTAACATGCTAGCAGTAAGTACACAGTGTAATCCTTTTTCGTGCTTTCACCCATTAAAGGGTAGGACTGTCACGTCATTGATTTCCCTTTTTTAACTTCTGAGAATGCGTTTCTAAAGACAGTTATTATTAACAATTATCACAGCTGTGCAATGAATCATCCCTTTGTCCACATTTGGCCTGTTTTGCTCAGTGCAGATGCACTACTTACACTTTTAAAGTATTTTTGTAAAACAGCTTGGTTATTCTTCACATCCGTCTACCTCTGTGTCTCACAACTCCTCAAATATATAGTGCTTTTTAGAGTTATGCAATCGCATGCACAATAGAAAAGGCTGGGGGCAACCCATCTGATTTGAGTTTTACCATCTGAAAGTTAAGAACCTCATTTAATCATTGAATCATAGAATGGTATGTTTTGGAAGAGACTTTAAAGATCATCTAGTTCCAACCCCCCTGCCACAAGCAGGGACACTTTCCACTAGATCAGGTTGCTCAAAGCCTCTGACCACCCTCACAGTAAATAATTTCTTCCTAATATCTAATCTAAACCTACCTTCTTCCAGTTTAAAGCCATTTCCCCTTGTTCTATCAGTACCTGCCCTTGTAAAATGTCCCTCCCCAGCCTTCCTGTAGGTCCCCTTAAGATACTGGAAGGCCACTATAAGGTCTCCCCAGAGCCTTTTCCTCTCCAGGCTGAACATCCCCAACTCTCTCAACCTGTCCTCATAGGAGAGAAGCTCCAGCCCTCTGATCATCCTCGTGGCCCTCCTCTGGACTTGCTTCAGAAGGTCCATGTCCTTTTATGTTGGGGCCCCCAGATCTGGATGCGATATGCCAGATGGGGTCTCACAAGAGTGGAGTAGAGGGGCAGAATCCCCTCCCTCAACCTACTGGCCACGCTTCTCTTGAGGCAACCCAGGATACGGTTGGCCTTCTGGGCTGTGAGCATCCATTGCTGGCTCATGTTGAGCTACTTGTCCTCCAAGTCCTTCTCCTCAGGGCTGCTTTCGATCTCTGTGCTTGGGATTGCCCTGACCCCAGTGCAGGACCTCGTACTTGGCCTTGTTGAACTTCATGAGGTATGCATGGGCCCACCTCTCACCCTCCGGATGGCATCCCTTCCCTCCAGCGAGTCGACCAAATGACACAGCTTGGTGTCATCGGCAAACTTGCTGAGTGTGCACTCAATCCCACTGTCCATGTCGCTGACAAAGATGTTAAACAGCACTGGCCCCAATACTGACCCCGAGAGACACCTCTCATCACTGGTCTCCACTTGGACATCAAGCCATTGACCGCAACTCTTTGAATGTGACCATCCAGCTGATTCCTTACCCACCAAGTAGTTCATCAGTTCAGTCCATGTCTCTCTAACTTAGAGACAAGGATGTCATCCCGGACAGCGTCAAATGCCTTGCACAAGTCCAGGTAGATGACATCAGTCGCTCTTCCCTTATCCACCAATGCTGTAACTCCATCACAGAAAGCCACCAAATTGGTCAGGCATGTTTTGCCCTTGTTGAAACCATGTTGGCTGTCACCAATCACTTTGTCACTTCCCACGTGCCTTAGCATAGTTTCCAGGAGGATCTGCTCCATGATCTTGCCAGGCACAGGGATGAGACTGAGTGGCCTGTGGTTCGCCAGATCTTCCTTGCTCCCCTTTTTAAAAATCCAGGTTATTTTACTCCTTTTCTGGGCTGTGGCAACTTCACCAGACTGCCAAGACTTCTCAAATATGATGGATAGTGGTTTGGCAGTTTCATCTGCCAGTTCCCTCAGGACGCGTGTATGCCCCTCATCAGGTTGTGTGCACCTTCAGGTTCCTCAGATGGTCTCGAACCTGATCTTTAACAGTGGGTGGCTCTTCATTTTCCCAGTCCCTGCCTTTGCCTTCTGTGACTTGGAGGGTATGACTTGAGCACTTGTTGGTGAATACTGAGGCAAAGAAGTCATTGAATACCTCAGCCTTCTCCATATCCTGTGTGACTTCGTCTTCTGTTTTCTTCTGGAGGTGGCTTACATTTAAGTTAATATAAGTTCCCTTTCTGATCAATCGATTCATCTATCCTGTTCTCAGACAGGTAGGTGGAGTCAGTTACACTGTGGAGACTTCTTTCTCTTCCCTTTAACTCCAGATTGAGTATAGTTGACCAGACTGGACTAGGCAGATATGTTTTGAGCAGTCAAAATCAAAGCAAAACTAATTTCACTCTAAGTCGTATGTCAGGAAAGAGCATGGGATAGTCCCTCATTTTGTTCAGGGTACCGAAATAATTGACAGTGTTATTGTCAGCATGATGCATTACCTGCTTTATTATATGTATTCCGCTAATGATGATATTGCACTGGTAAAAGATTCACACCAAAGAGGAATGGATTTGAACACTTAATGGCAGTATGCAGTAAAGCAAATATAATAAGGATGGCTGTCTCTGCTAGTGGATACTTCTGTACAAAAGAAAGAAAAATAAAGAATTATTCTTTAAAATGAACAGATCCAAGTAGGAGAGAAAAAATAAGGCCAAACTGTAATTATTGTGAGAATCTACTCTTCCATTAAAGGTAAAAAAATACATAGGAGGCTTTACCTAGTAATAGTTTTCCAGATAGCAAGTGTCATGTCTTAAAGAAAGTTTCACATGTCTTAATGGAAGCATGAGCAAGATGGGAGAAGTGTAGCATATCCCTGTTAAGTTGAGAGATACCATATGAAAAAAATGAAATACACTTAAAAGCTACAGCATAGAAACATGAGTCACTGTGTCACATGCAGGTCAAAACCCATTAGGTGAATGGGATCTTCAGCATTAGGCAACATCTATCTTCTGCTCATCATGTTAACACAAGTCAAATATCTTTTTCTTTAGTGGCTACATCTGAATATTTTTGCTATTTTTTTGAACTTTGAATTCACTGCTGCTACTGTATGTTCTGCAGAGCTGCTTATTTACTGTACTGTTTCCTTCCTTCTTTGTAAATATTCCGATTAGTGATTCCTAAGGCTGTAGGGTATGTCTCATCAACTTGTGAAAGTAGGATAATATCTCTTCTGTGAGCAGCTACACAGTAAAGGCTTGCTAATTCTGGCTCTGACTGTTGTAGTCACATCTACAAGTCACATGTGTCAGCCATGATGACATTTTAATTCAGAAAGCAACATATGTTCCCTTCTCATTTATTGCTATAACTTTCAAAGTACTTATAATGAAAACATTAAAACTGTGGAGTGATTCAAAATGTATATAGTTTAGCCTTTGTATAGATACTAGATGTTCTTTGATAGTATAAGCTAATTAGTCTGTAAAGTGGTTGGTACTGTACAAAATAAGAAAGAAACAAAATTCCAAAGTCTTGGATGTAAATTATGTAGCTATTCTGACTACAGGGTATGTGCTTATTTTTATTTCATGCCTGGACAGTTCTATATAGCAACACAAAATATCCGAGATCACCGAAAAGGTGGTTAATAGTTATAACAATGATGGTACCCTTTAGAAGTTTCATTGTTTGCATTTTGTGAAAGATATCACCATAGACTACTGGAAATGGGGAGTATGAACTGGCAGAAGTATATTTTTACCTTTTCCAGCATTCATCCCTAGGCATGTACCAGAGGTAACTTTGGAGGGAGATACAGGGCTAGATAGATCTTGGCAGTCAAACCTAGTATCACCTAGTAGCTGGTTTTGGTAAGGATAATTCTTTTAGTGTGTGTAAAGAATTCTTTATTGAGTAGTTTAGTAGATAATTTGTTAGTGTCAAAATAACAAACTCTCCAGGAAGACCTTCTGAGAAATAAGCTTCTGAAATGCACATCCCTGAAAACTCTAAATGTGCAGTAGGAGAGATTATATACTCTACGACTTCACATGATTTCTTTCGAGGCTCACTTTGGCTTTTATTGAGTAGAAAAATTGGTTCTCATTATCCTTTTCCATCAGAAACGTAACCCATGATATGTTCCTTCAGTTAGGGATCAAGCAAGTCTTACTTTTGTGGCTGTAAGTCACTGGTAACATAGAAAAGAAAGTTGTGTTGAAGTTTCATCCCAATCTTTCAACCCTTTTCCTTGTAAAATTGGAACTGAAGAGATACAAGGAAAAAAAAAAATTCTAAATTAGGGCCTTCTAATGCTTTATTTTAAAATACTCCTTCCTTTCCTAGTGTTTTCCCTCTCATTTGACAAAGCAAAGTAATATTTACGTGGCTGTGGGATCCAGCACTGTAAAGGATTTGCTATGAGTTCTTCACGGTTAGTTGGCTGATGGGAGAGGAGCCAACAGAGAGCAAAAAAGAGAAATAGGAAAGACAAAAGAGAAGATGTGGATAAGAAATAAATATGGGAAATATGGCACCAAAAGGTTGGATGGCTTGCAGAAAGCAGTAGCTTGGAGGGGAGTTAGAAAGTTCAGGGCCTTTCCATAAGGAATGAGGACCACAGCAGGGTGGGGGCTGAGCTCCTCCTGCAGTCCCAGTACTCAGGCTGCTGAATCTCCTTCATGTGGGAGAGAAGCTGCAGGAAGATGAGAACTTCATCACTGTGTATAATACTAACTGTGTGCTATGGGCAATAACAAAATGGTGGACTTAATCCCAAAAAAACCATCTCACCTCCAGAGACAGAGGCATATCTACATCAGATGACACAAAAAATACATTTCATTGCTGGTTCTGAGGTTTTCTGATTTGGACAGTCAGAGATTCTCATCTGTTTTTTTTTTTTTTTTTTTTTTTAAAAAAAAAGCTATAGCTGAGCATCATCTACGGTTTTCAATAACATAGTGTGGAACAATAGCTCTCACAATATCCCAGTGTGATTCCAGCAAATTTCAAGTAATTTAAATTGATATTGTATAATTAATCAATTTATATGAACTGTTGCAGTTGTAGCATGTCTTGGGACTCTTCTCAGGAAAGGTAATCATGTAGCGAAGTTTCAGATCCAAGTTTGAGTATACTGATTTTCTTTTTTCCTAGCAATAATTCAGAAAAGGCTAAAGAAAGAAAAGAAGGCAAAGAGGAAATTGCAGGAAGCTCTTGAATTTGAGACTAAACGACGGGAGCAAGCAGAACAGACACTGAAACAGGCAACTTCAACAGATAGTCTCAGGGTCCTAAATGGTAAGAAAACAATTTTTCCCTCTGTGTCATTAACTTTCAATTTAAGTGCCAAAAGAAACTTGTTACGAAAATTTATACCATGATGGGAGAGAAGAAAAAGAAAAAATATTTTCCTTCCTTCATTAAAGTGATGCCTCTCTCTTTATTATTTTGTTACTTTATATAGTATGTGCAAATAAACTCACTGGAGAGAATGTCCAAAGTAGGACAATTTTATATTATTAGCTTGAAAAGTCAATTTTTTTTCTTCTTCTCCCCCTACCCCTCCACCCCCCTTATGCTTGAAAAATCTATTGCTCATTAATCTTCCTAGTCTAACAAAAAATTGTCCTGGCCTCCAGTCATTGTTCAACATTAAAAAAACTGACAAAGGTTGATTGTATTGTAATTCAGTTTTGGAGTAACAGGTTGTAAAAAGGGCTATAAGAATCAAATGAAATATGTGTCAGTCTTACCTTTCTATGTTTCTAGACTCTCTGACCCCAGAGATAGAAGCTGACCGCAGCGGGGGCAGAACAGATGCTGAAAGGACAATACAAGGTAGGAATTTGCAAAAGGCTATAAATCTAGATCTTGCTATATGAGTTTTTCCTCAGCTTTAGACTGCTATTCAAGCATGTAGCCTACCATCTGGGCCACATCAAAACAAGTTCAAACAAGGTCAAGTTCATCTTGCTTGTTTATAAGAGAGAGTACATTCTGTGCTGATAGATTTTCTTTAAATTAATAGGTCATTTCTGTTTATACAGAGCAATTAAAGAAGAATAATTAATTTGAAGCAATATTGGGTTGAGTCTCAGACATGCTGAATACAGTTTTTGTGAATGTGTATATTTAGATTTGAGATAACAATGTTTTTAAAGGTGTATATGAAACATTTTGAGCCTTTTAACTATACAAATGGGTAAACCTAATGGGTAACATTCAAGGCATGATGAGAATTTCATAACTAATATTGAGTGCAGTTACTGAAAGGTATGTTTCAATAAACTGCTCTGAGCATTAACGATAAATAATCTTTTTATTCCCTTCTTGGATTTTTCATTTACCATATTCCATTATTTACATTTTGAATCTGCTGAGTAAATTTATACAAGAAATAATAAAGTAAGCCATATTACTTTCCCTGTGAATCTAAATGCATATATATATATATATATGTATTGCAAGCACCAAGATATTAGTAAAGAACAGATTTTTAAGATCACATTTATATTATTATGTCTTCTCTAGTCAACAGGCTCAATCTACCTACAGGAATACTAAACAGTAAAAATAGCATTTGTTTTCAATTGTAAATGAAGGTGCATTTTTCAGACAAGAGCCTAAAATTATTAGCTCCAGTAATCACTCTCAATTGCCTTTATTTTGTATTTAGGAGTCAATCATCTTAACAGTATCATTTGACATCTTCTGTGTGTTATTTAATCACTTTTTCTAACTCCTAAAGAGTTGTTACTGGTGTGCCAGAAGGAGGCTGTAACAACAGAATAAGAAGTCAACAAGCTTTTAATGTATGAGCATATAAACAAATACAAAAGAGGCAATAAGTTCTTATGTAGGACAAACACATGTATGTAAATGAAAACATTTAGATTTGAAGCAAGTTATGTCTGCAAAGTCAGTAACTCAGAAGTTGGAGTATGCCAGATTCAACGTTGCCTGGGAAGTGGGTACATGTTATGAGGTTTGTTATTCCAGAGTCTTACTCTACTTCCCATAAAATATATGCTTTATTCAAAGCACCATTTGACGTAATTAGTAAGAAAGCAGTCATTATGTCAATATGTCCAATCATTTTGTTATATTGTTTGGTGCAAGACAGACTTCTAATTTCTAGGAAGGCCATTCTATCACACTAGCCACTGCAGTATCTGAGCTCTTTGCAAACATTAAGTATATTATCCTCAGAGCATTCCCACAAGGAAGTGAAGTTTGGAGTATTCCCATTTGAAAGCCAGGAAATAAACAGAAAGATTATGGTGACAAATTACTTAACTTTTGAGTAGCTAGGACCTATTTTTTCAGGATACTTTGTATTTTTGGCAGATGTATTCAGTGTATTTAAAATCACTGTTTCTGTTGAATTCAGTTTCATTTATAGGCTGAGATACCAAGCTGGATATTTATAAAATGAGCAACACATAATTACTGAGTATTTTGGAAGTATGTATTTTAAAGGACTTATCCCAAACTACATAGGAACAGTACTTCAGCTTTTTAAGCATGATAATCCATTCTTTTCCAGCTATCCTCTGCCTACTTATGCTCATTGGCATTTCTGCAACAAATGAAATCAAGGGCTTACAAGCAACATTTTCAGTAGTGGTGACCTTTCCTTGATTCATCTGTCTAAGGTGGTGCAAGGAAAAAAAAACAACCCACAGGTGATTATTTAGTTAAAGACTGGACCATAGTATATTCTGATCATGATATTGCAAAGGCAACCTTAATTCTGACATTTCCTGTCTCTACTTTGCAGTCTTAACATAAAATTTAAATAGGGGGTGTTTTTTTAAGGAAAAGGAAAAAAAAAAAAAGGCAAGAAATAGAGTTGCAATTTCTTATCTTTTAATATATTCAGCTTAATTGTCATACAACAGTTCAGAACTTTAGATCTACCACAATAAGTAAACCTACAACACAAATGTGACTGTAGGAGCTTACTGTGGTTGTGGATCAGCTACTATAGGCTGACAGGTTTCGGAAATAATTCAAGAAATAGTTAATGGCAGATGAGTAATGCTAAGTACCAGGACTCTGTTCACTTCAAACATCAGAAGGAGGATTCTCTTTCATTGTTAACTCCGTTTTCTCTGTGTCCCCCTAAGCACATATCACTGTATCTCTATGTCCCAGTTTTTCCTAATTTCTTCCTCCTCACTCCAATTCCAGATTTTGTCAGTGGCTGATCTCACTCATTCCTTGCTCTACATTATATTGTGTTGCTTGTTTCCTAACTTCACGTTCTTCCAATGTTCTCTTCTGAGCTCAGTTTCATGCCACCCTGATTATTTCTTTAATTACAAGCTCTTTCTTTTCTCAGTGAGCCCCAACCCCCTGTCTCTGTCTGACCCTTCTTCTTGCCTCCTCTTCTTGTCCAGCTATTTTGAGAGTCCATGCTGCATTGACATTCCCTGTTAGCAGCCTTTCCTGATTGGTCTGTATTGTCTGCTTCCACTCACCTACCTGTCAAGTTCATGTTCCCTACTGCTTTCAGTACATTCTGTTTCTTCTTCTGCAACTGTCTGGATATCAGGGAGAGGAGCACTGGGAGAAAAGCAAAGACAATTTCTCTGTACTTATCTCAATATTTAGCTTGGCAATTGTTTGCACAAATGAGGAGAGAGAGTTGCTTCATTCCTGCAGCACCAGGATAAACCATACTCTGTACAGATGGGCTCCTTGGAGAATTTAGTTGCAAAACTCTAGAAAAGCTTTCCAACGACCGAAACTGGGATTTTTCCAACACTTGTTTAAATTTTCCTTGGGGCAGCAAAGAACGTGTCTTTCCAATTGTGCAAAATTTAAATTGTGTCCTTACATTTTATCTGTAAATGATATTTTGTATACTCTAGTATGCACTCTAGAAGAATTATTGTATAGAATATACAATATATTCCATAATAAAGAATATAATACTATATCTTTCATGTTTCAGGTTCTGAGAAAAAATAGTTATTAGGGAAATAATTATGCCTTTCTTATTCCTCTCAAAAATATATCTGTATCTTGGTATCAAAGCATGTCTGGGGTAATAGTCTCTTTATCCACAATCAGTAATTTCTTTCAACCTAATGTATTAAGCATGCTATGCAGTTCTTCAACTAAGCAAACAAAAGTAGGAAAGCTGCAGTGTTCTGTGCGAAGTGAAATAATGGAAATACCAAGTCTAATTTCAGCACTTAAGAAAATATTATGCAAGGAAATAATAATTAAAAATAAAGATTTCTTCTACTATTTATTATAAGTAAAAGGATACTTGTCAAATTGAAGTTATATTTAATGTTGATATTTTAAACTATCACTTTTGTGAGTAAGGAATAGAACTAATTTAAGCATAGAAGATAATTGCATTTATTAATAAGGGGGGGTATGTGTTGTTCTATTTTTCATCATGTAGAACTCATTCAGATTCACTTAGTCCACAAGTCTTTTGTAAAGTGGGAGAAATGGTAAAAGGAAGTTTGAATATGCAACTATAAAAAGAAGCAATACAGTATCTTTTAGGGTTGGGTTTGGGGTTTTTTTGGATACTGGGCAGATAAGTTTTCTAGAATATCCATTAAATGCCAACAAATAATCATAATAAATAACCCAATTATGGGTCTCATATTTTTGAGCAGATACAAACAGATACTTACTTAGTAGGAACTGGTGTAGACACTGGTTTTAAATGTTTTCTTTCTTGCTTCTGTTTAAAATAATAATAAAGCAGATTATCCTCTTCTCCATACATATTGTAGGTTCACTAGATGCCTATGCCTAGCTCCCAATCCGGTTTCCCAAGACCCCCTCATCCCACACAAAAAGGTACCATACAAAGATAATGTTTGACTTTTATATACTGTTTTGTTACCAGACCTCTTACTAAGCACTACAACAATGACATTTATTGCCTCTACTTTCTTATTTCCATTGCCTTTTTCTTCCCCATCTGGTTACTTACTATGTATTTGTCTGCCTACATTATTAATTTTTCTTTTTCTCTATACATCCCACATTCCCAATTTTCTTTCTCCCAGTAGTTTCCCTCCCAAGTCTTGAACATTCATCTTCATTCCATTTAAACACCACTCCCTTTACACATTATCTAAACGCCTCTAAAAATGTCTTCCCCATTGACCATTCTTTTCATACAGTGTCCCTGTCATGTCTTCTTTTTCCCAAATTGCTCCCAAATTGTTTTGTGCTTTTCTCCCAAAGCTATCCTGATAAGAACAGGAAGCCTAATCAATTTTTTTCTCTCTCATGCTGCTATTTTGTTTGTCTTTCTTCCTTATTTCCTAGCGATTGCCTCAGTCTGTACCTTTTCTACTTTCTTCCAATTAATTTCCAATTTCTACTTGCCATCATTCCCACTGCTTCGGAAGCCAGGTCCATCATTTTCTGCTAACAGTCTTCTCACTCTGTTCAGTTCCCATGAATTCTCAGACCTATCTTTTTTGTTGTTGGTTTGGTTTTGGTTTTGGGGTTTTTTTTCCCAAATGTCAGTTTGCGTTCCAAGAGACCTTTTACACTTTGTCTGTCCTCAAAGTTTTCCTGCCCCACTCTACTCTTTCAATTTTCCCTTAACTACACATTCTCCTCTAGTGCATTTTTTTTCTTTTTGTCTGTCAATCAAAATTTCATACTTCAATTCCTTATTCTGCTGCAAACATATTTTTCTTTCACACGTTTTCTTTCAAATGTTTCTTCCAAATATTTTTTTCTAGCACATTATCAGCCTTTCTCCAAATGAATCTGTTATCTTACTTTCCCTGTCCCTTATCAAAATGGACTTATGCTTTCTAAGCCCTTTCCCACTGACTGTTTCTTCTCACCTTTTTCTAGTTCCCCACCTCTTCTCTAGGCTCATACTAACAGCACAGTTTAGTGTAATGCTAGGTGGCTTCAGACTATGCTTTCCTGATGTAAGAAAAAGAGCCACTCAGCTATGATGCACATAAAAGCTTCCAGGGCCATCTGTCTTTTTCCTTCCCAGAAAAGACAAGGCAGGAAATGGAGACATTGACCAGAGCCAGGAATAGAGAAAGAAAGCAGCTGCAACTCAGCACACTGACTGCACAGTCCTGTGTGAAGCTACTTGTAAGGCCTTTGAAGGCTGCTGAGGAAGAGTGGGAAAGAAATTATGATTTAACTTTGCCCATGCCAAGAACCTAGTGTGTGCATTTTGCTGCCTAAATACTAGGGGAAATCTACCCTGCAGCTGCTGTCCACATTCATAAAAATTGCTTAGATACAGCTTCAATCCTTTGCCTGAAAACCTAACCTAAATTGTTTTCTACATTGGTTTGAAACTTGTTTAATCTATTTTTCAAGAAGAAAAATCAGTGTAATAATCTCAGCAAAAGATAGTCCTTGATTCTTTCTTGCTATATTTATGTTTGAAAGATAGGACTTCCACATTGAAAAGGAACTTCTGCAGGTTCTGTGAAGCTTATGCCCTTGGTTCCATTTCTGATGTTTAAATCTTGGACAAAAACATATATAAATGTGTGATATGTCTTAGGAGACCAAAAACTTAATTGGAAAAGGCCTTTATAAAGGCTGTAAAGTCAAGCATTCCAAAATCATGAAATGGTAGAATTAAGAAGGACTTCTGTGTCTTTGTTCAACCATCTTTGTGTATGCATCATGATATACTCTTTAATTGTATTATTAGATACCGTATTTTTCATAGTACACCATCTCATTCAGTGCAGGGGACGAGGATGTAGTTAAATAAGTGGATATCTATCCAATGTTTTCTTTATCTACAGTAGTCAGTGTGTGTTCTCATGCTTTATATAATACCTGTTTTATATATAATACTTTAATCATTAGACATTGTGCTTTACAGAAGAGGTGTGAATGACTGTCTCAATTTCTTTCATATGTTAAATCTTAATTTTGACATCTGCCAACAACTGAGTGTTTGCTTCACTGTTTGAATAATGTCTTAGGTAACCATTTCCTAGGGTTTTCTTTTCAACAATTTGGTGGTTTCACTCACAGGTACCCCCACCCTGTGAGATGAGAAGGACATCACAAGAAAGGGATCACAGATTAGAATGAAGACAGGGTTGGCTCACTCCCCAGTTATGGTCACAGGCAAAAACACTCAGCTTGGGGAAGAAAAATCAATTTAATTTGTTATCAATCAGAGAAGAACAGTGAGACATAACAACCATATCTTAAGACACCTTCCCCCCACCCCTCCCTTCTTCCTGGGCTCAAATCACTTTTCTCACAAGTTCTCTACCTTCTCCCCCACAGCAGTGCAGGGGACAGGGAATTGGGCTTGCAGTCAGTTCACCTCTGCTGCTCTTCCTGGCATGGAAGTCCAGGAACAAAGTGTTCCAAAGCGAGCTTCCCATAGAGTCATGGACCTCTTTGGGCTCAGTTCCCAGCTCCAGCATGGGGATATCCATGGGCTGGGCCTCTGGTCCAGCGTACTTCCTCCTCCACTCCCCTGGCTCTGGGCGTCCACCCCTGCTCTGGCATCAAGTGACTCTCGGGGTCTCAGTTTTAGGCACATTTGCCCTTGGGCTCAGCTTTCCTTCTCCAGCATGGAGTCCTCCATGGCCTAAACGTGGGTATCTGCTCCACCGTTGAACACCCATGGGCTGCAGGGGACCCTCCTTTACCTTCTCCTACTCCATGCATGTTGATCTGGGTGTCTGTGGTTCTCTGTCCTCCCCCTCCTCCTCCTTCCTCCTGGCAATGAAACTCTCTCTTTGTTTAGACCGATGGTTGTCTTTTGTTCAGGTCAACGGCCTCTCCTCCAGGTTCTCTCCACCTTCTTTTCAGGATGGTCCTTCCTCTCATAAATATGGATTCAAAGAGGCATTTCTTTATTACTAATTAGCTCAGCCTGGGCTGGAGGCAGGAGCCAGGGGAGCTTCATGCAGTGCCATTCCCCACTGCCAAAACTGCTACCCCCGCCCCCCACAAAGCCAACACAAACAAGTAAACTACAAAGTCAGAAGTTTCACTGTGAGATGATGACATCTGACAGCCTTATGGACTTGAATCTTTAGATTCACAGTGATCAAGCCAACAAAGTAACCAATAAACTGTAATACGTTATTATGAGCAGTGCAGTCTAAGGAATGACCATTTTGCCATAGGGATTTTACAGATACTTGTTGAGATAAATAAAGACAGTCTTGGGATACATTTCATGCTCTTGGGCACAGAATCTTCCTCTCATTTTTCTTGCAACCTGTATCACTTTTAATAGTGTCTTCATCAAGCTTTCTTATTCTTGTTCCTTCCTCATCTTCAGCCTTTGATTTGAACCATTCCTAATATCCATTTCCAAATTTTGTAATTTCTTTCTTACCTCTTTTTTGTCTCACCTTTCAATACAAGTTTCTATTTATATCCAGTCATAATTCCAGCCTCTGATTTTAACTTCTTACACCTAATAGCCTTGTTAATCAAGATCCAGACATCTCCAGATACTCTATTCATATGCCGCATATCCAGTTACTTTACTTGGCAAAAATTCTCCCTCTAAGAGACTTCAGATGACTTTACCTGACTTTCTTGCCCTGTCTGTGTTCTGTCCCCCATCTTATCCTTCTATCTGTAACTGCTGAGTCCTGTTCTTGTCTAGTCAGCCCAAATCACTCGGTCCCCCAACTTTGGTCTCAGTTACTGTCTACCAACTGCCTTTTCCAGTGTCTTCCGGTGCCCTGGTTTCTGTGTTTCTATCTATGTGTTTAACCAGTCCCAGTTACTCCCCCTAGTCACATTTTCTCTCTTAATTTATAATTCCAACTTCATCAGACTTCTTGTCCTAATTTCTCTAAATCTTAAGTTTTATATGAGTTTGTTTGTAGACTAAGAGAAGATTACTGTTGGCTGCTAATCATAGATAGGACACATTTTCCAGTGCAAGACTACTCTCAAATTAACTAATGATTTTTTAAAAATAGTTTTCAATATCCTCAAATGACAGGACATCTATTTCTTTTCTGGGGACATCAGTTCTCTTTGCAGCACATTTAACTAAAATGTCTTTTCTTTAGTCTTTCCTTCATTTATTTTGCCCATGATATTGACTGTGATGACCAGCATCAAGTCCATTTCTTTTATCCATTATCCTTCTATAGAGTCCCTTCAATAATTGCATCTTTCTCCCAGGACTTCTATCTCCTGTCTTTGCATTTCTGTCTGTTCCTCTCTGTGTCCTCCTTCCTCTTAATCAAAAGCAATTCCATTTGCTCCCATAGCTCCTCAAAGACGAAGTCATCCATCTGTATAATGCCATGTAAACTGATGATCATATATTCTCTACAGTATCAATTGATTAAAACCAAGAAAAGAAATGGACCTGATCCTTTATACATTTTACCAAGTTTTTTTCTTGCCTTTTTTCCCATTAAAACATCATACAAATTCTAAATATGTATATATCAACTTGTATATTCTGCATTTTTATTCAATTGACACTTGCTCATCAGTTATTCCATCTTTATTGCTGCTCAATAATTACTATGGATTTGTTATTACTCATTTATTATTGCATGGAACTTGTAGCAGAAAGGTGCTTGGGTTTAGTATAAAGCCAGGATCCTCAAATAGATTTATCAGATAATTTTCAGAATTAAAATACATTTTCACTTTCCCTTTCCTTCTTCTTTGCTGATCCATTTCAAAACTGTTTCAGCTTCCCTTGTATTGTTGCTTTCCCGTTTCCTTCCACCTCTATTTCAGCCTCCCCTCCAGTCCCCCGCCAAATATTACTTCTGAATATCCAAAATCTTTCTTTTTACACCACTTATTTGACCTGCAAGGCAGTGTGTGTGTATGATCTGTTATGTAT